AATGGTAAAGTTGTCGCACAGTCCAGTATTTAGTAAATGAGCTATAAAATATGGGAGCTCAAAAAATTGCTAAAAAATCCAAATTTGTTTTTGATTAAAGGTCAACAGTTTAATGTCTTATTAATCATGTCTCAAAGTATTAGTTCTGGAAGTGGTTAACAAATTGTTTATTTAACGTTATTTTTCATAGTTCATTATATTAAACAATGTATGCACAAATACCTTTGAAAGGCAATTACTCAAAGTCCTGTTTTTCTTGACTCTAAGAGTACTGTAATTTCACTTTCCAATAACTGGTTTGAAACGTCCAATTTGAATGAATGACCCCTCATTTTAAATATCACATACTCAGGTATTTGAAAATACCAATAACTTAATTTTCAATTTTTGCTACAACTTAGCCATTTTGCCACAACATGCCTCATATAGTAAATAATTCATATGCATTAATAAATCTGTTATCAATAACTAAATCATTTATCGTTCGTATGCCCGCTCTAACCCAATCTTATATAAAAGTTAAACACCTTTATATAATATCATTTTGTTACCCCAAGTTTGTTGTTTCAATATTTCATTGTAACCCAGTGGGTGCTTAACAATACATTGGTTAAAGTATGTCAATGCGTTTATCATTGAGAGATAGAACCTAGGAATTCCGTCGATGGATATCCCTTTATAGCATACATTTGACATGTTCTCGATAACGTCCTTTGGAGCAAATCTATACAAATATAATCGTGGCCAAAACTTCCATTTTGATGTTTCGCCATCATACAAGGGTTTAAGCCAAGCCATTTTTAGTGACTTAAACTTGTGATATAAAATCAGGAGCTCTTAATCCGCCTCGATGATAATCATTAATTAGGGTTAGCATTTTTACTTTTTCAAATTTATAGCCCCACAAAAAAAAAAACAAATGTATCAACCTGTTTTACCACGCTCTCGGGTTTTTTTTTTTATAATGCTTGCATTGTAAACAAGTTTAGATAACCCGAGCGCTTTTAAAATTAAAATCTTTCCAGAGAGAGTCAAATTTAGTTTCCGCCATGAATTAAGTATGTGTTTTAATGATTCAATTTTTCTGACCAATTTTTAACAAAACAATTCCTTATTGTGGCCAACATGTATTCCTAGCACTTTTTTTCATTTTTTATAAATAAAACTGTATCATCAACTAGCTGAGCAATTTTTACTTCAACAGTATCTTTTTGATTTGGTAGAATAATGCCTTTAATCAGTCTGTCTCCTCTTATTCGAATTGCCATAATTTCAGCTACTAAAATATAAAGAAGGGCAGATAAAGAACAACCTTGCCTTATACCTCTATACATTTTAAAGCTTTTTGAGCTCCATCTATTGTTCATAATTATACACTCAGTATTACAATACAAAACACTTACCCATTTGATAAATGATGGGCAAAAATTAAAATGATGAAGAGCATTAAACAGGAAATCCCTGTCTACCGTGTCAAACGCTTTACTGAAATCTAAGCTTATCAGGGCGCCTGTAAGACTATTTACATCCATATATTCCATAACATCCTCAATCAAGCGGATATTTTCCCCACCAAAACGATCTTTTATATACCCTTTTTCATCATTGCTGCTATATTTTTTTTATAACATTTTGTAGTCTTTTTGCTAAAACAAAAGCAGCGATTTTATAATCCACATTAAGAAGCGTTATAGGCCTCCAATTACTTAGATCATCATGCTCACCTTTTTTATGGATTAAACTTATAACACCACGTCTTTGTGAATTAGATAACTTTTCCATTTCAAAGCTTAAGTTAAGAGCTTCGCAAACTAAAGGGCCAATTTTAGGCCAGAAAAATCCATATAAATCTACTGTGAGACCATCTGTATCAGGCGCCTTGTTAAGTTTCATACATTGTATAGCGTGTTCACATTCACTAAGTGACAGTTCACCCTCACAAGACTGTTTATCAGGATCTGATAATTTCGTGGATTCTATTTTTGTTTAAATACGTCTGTACCTCGTTTTTCTCAATGTTTTGATTGGCGTAGAGTTTCTCAAAAAATTGCATTTCTTCGTACAGAATATCATTAGTTTTTCGAGCATATGTTCCATCATAATATATCTTTTTATTTTTTTTATTTGTTTTTTTTTACCATTATTTTTTTCAAGTCCTAGAAAATATTTAGAATTTGTTTCTCCTTCCTCTACCCATTTAATCCTAGATCGTATCTGGGCACCTTTAGCCTCATAAGCATATATACTTTCTAATATTTTTGTTTTTGTTTTTAATTCTAGCTCTGTTTTTTCATTTGCGTTCCTGTTCATCAAGAAGATATTTAGTTCCTCGATTTCTTTTTGTAATTTTTCTTTTTTCTATTTTAATTTTTTGCTTTTGTTTTTCCAAAAAAAAAAAATCGCGTATTCTTTTATTTTGATTTTTATCAACTCCCATTTATCAACTGCATTAAAATCTTTATTACGTTCGCAGTCATCAATGATTTTCATAACTTTTTCAATAAAAACCTATCCTTTAAATAATTGGAGTTAAATTTCCATAACCCTGGACCATGTTTTTCTTCAGATACACTAATTTTAAAGGAGACACCTTGGTGGTCAGTGAGAACAGAGGGTCTGATATCACAAGAGATTATATTTCCTTCATCATGTAACTCTTACGATACAAACCAGTAATCTAATCTTTTAAACAGGTTAGCTGACTTTCTGCGACATGTAAATTGTAATTTATTTTCGTTAAGTACTCTCCAAATATCTAATAACTTAAACCTATTCATAAAGTTTTTGACTGTAAACACCGAATTATCTTTTTTCATTGTACTACCTTTCTGATCAAATGACTTATATTTAATGCAATTCATATCACCACCGACAATAATATACCGTGCGTCACAGAAGGTATGCATATGTTTTTGGAGATTTTCTAAAAAATGAACTACGTTCTTTGCTATCATTTGGTACGTATACCTTCACCAATAAATATTGAACACCACTGATATCTATATGTAATAAAATCTGTCTACCGGTATCATGGATTTGTTTATTTATGCACTTGTAATCAAGATCTTTTCGTACAAGAATTGAAAGCCCTTTATTAAAGGAGTTACCAAAACTGTGATAAGAGTCTCCCACCCAAAGGAAATTATAATCGTTAACAAGATCTTTGGTGAGATGTGATTCTTGTACAAGTAATATGTCAACCTTATTAACTTTAGCCCAGTTAAAAATTTCTCTTTGCTTTTGTTTTACTCTTAGCCCTCTAACATTTGAAGACAGACAGTGTAAACATCTACTATTATCTTTACCCATTTCGTGGTAACAACAAATAGTACAAACAGCACTAAACTATTACGTAGATTTACTTCTTAGTCGTTTTCTTTTTTTCTTTCTTTTCTCTACGGGACTTGGTAACTTCATCACATTCGCAACTACTTGCTGATCACGTTCGTTTTTCTCTTTGTTGAATTTTTCTTTTTCAGGTTCTTTGGTATCGCCAGTAACGGTAACTCTCTGTGGCGTAGCTGTCGTGATGAAGTTTGTTATGCTCTTTTGGACTTTTTACAGGAGCATGGCCGCTGCCAGGGACCTCTTCCATTGTCCCGTCATCATCAATTGCCTCTACTGTATCTTCTTTACAACTGGTTGCTGTATCACTCTCGCTTTCATCGCTGATGCCAAGACTCCATTTAGACTCTTTCTTATTATCTTTGCTGCCTTTATCCACGATATCTTGCCACATTTTTTGTATGTACTTTTCTCCAGATGTTTGATGAAATAGGTTTGGTCCGGTGTCATAGGCATCATCGTCTTCCTCAGTATGAGTGATGATGTCGCTTTCATCCAAATGCTTGAGCGCATCCTTGCAAACCTTGCAATGTGACCCATTTTCCCGCATCTGTGACACTTGTAAGGGATATTTTTTGGACAGCTACTAATCTAATGTCAAACCTCATTGCACTGAAAGCATTTCATCACGTCGATCTGATCTCTGTGAAAAAGCCTTGCCTTAAAATTGTTGATCATAGTAAATCTTTTTTTTCCTGTGAGATTGCCTCCACTAATAACTTCACACAAGGCAAAGTATATCGTTTCTTCGTTCAAAAAGTCATCGTTTTTTCACGAGCGTCATCATCGCTTGAATAATTTTGATCCTTTTGTTCTGTCACTCTTACTTAACTTTCTTTGTGACCGCTGTCAGCGTGAATCTCTACTTCGATTACGTCACCCGTTGGAGCATCATCAATTATATTAGCTAAGTATTTACCTTTGTCGTTTGCCCCATGGGCTTGGTGCACATTCGCCATTGTTGGATGTCGAGTAGGCCTAGACATGATCGCTTCACAAAATATTTTTTCTGGACGATATTCAGATCAAAGGTAAAAGATCCGTACAATGCAAATGAATATTTGTCATCCAAAAAATGATATATACTCACTTAAAATCCAAGACTATTTCAAAAACTAGTGAAATAAGCAATAATTATGGAGCAGTATAGATAACTTTACCATAGCTAAGTTATTCTCTTTTGCTCCAACCTCAACTGTATTAACCTACTTACTTATTAGTATTAGTATTTATTATTATCTCTATTACTATTTTTGTAAACCCTTTTTTATATATATTTCGTTCTACCGCAGGATTTTCTTACTATATATTATCACAGTAATTAAGTTTTTACTGATTTTGTTATTGTTGCACATCTTCACGGTTGTGCCTCTGTTATAAAAGAGAAGCAATAAAGTTACATACTTACTTACTCAAAATTACATATTTTCGTTTCTGATCTGAAATTCGCCTTTGTAAATAACTTTCTGATGCATAACTGTATTATTGTAATTTATTTATGGACGGCTCAAACAATTTAACACCATTAATACCTGAATAAGACAATAAAAAAAATAAATACAGAGCATAATAAAAAAAGGAAAATAGAGTATGTTTCTTAGTTTACTGTGTTTATGTCTAGTGCTCTAATAAATTTACTCCTTTTTACGTGATAGGCTATGTTTCGACGTATTTTTGGAAGTGTGGACATTTTCTGCGACGCTGTCTGTATATTGGACATTTTCTTTAGCAACCGGGTTGCTTTCCTCGAGGAGGGACTTATAGTAAGTTAATTAACTTTTTATCATTATTTCTTGGAAGTAATACAAGCAACATAAAAAGTCTCTATCATATTATAAAAATAATATAATATAATATTAGCATGTTTCTCACATACATACACATAAGTTGACTTTATTGATCTGCTTTTAATGCCGCCTTGTATTTTAATATTTGATTGATTGACGAAAGACTGAATGAATTAGTTGATGGATAAGTGCTTGAAAGGATGGCGATTAGATGGATGAATAAATGATTATTGAATACTAAATTACACATGTTATACAAACATATTATACAAATTGTTTTTTAAAATGAAAGGTCATGAGGTATTAGATTTATTAAAAAAATAATAATACGGTAGATTAAACCTGTAATTGCACTGCATGTTACAAACAAAATGTTCACCTGCACTTAAAAACATATTACAAAATCACTACGAGCTTCAAAATATCTTTTATCTGATCTCAAATGAGAATTTATGCTGTTCCACATCTGGCACTTGAATTTACAACATTCAACTTTCGTGGTCTAGCAGTACTACAATCGAGAAAAACATTATAAAATCTATTTTTCTAACAAACTTTCTTTTCCAGGTCAAAGATCCAAACAAGCTATCAGCAAATTATCGTAAAAAAATAAGTTTTAAATTGGATATCCTCGCCGTTATTCCACTGGGAACCATAGCTTTGTTTATTGGAGGTAATATATGCATTCTAATTTGCCTGTATATACACACCAAAATACACACACACTTGCGCACCCTTACACACCAATGCATAATATAAGTGTAAGTAATCCTAATCATAATAAAAATATTTTTAATGATATTAATAAGAGCCATCATAATCGCGTGCAGCATCTGGAAGAAATACCGTGCACCATTTTGTATGTGCCTAAAGCTACATTTAGACACGATAACGACACGACGATATGTCATCGCGTCGTTTATATTTTTCAACACTGGGCGCATTTTTATCGTATCGTTTAGTGTTGTTATCGTGTCTAGTGTAACTATAGCCTTACCATTGGATTATTCTTTTAGTTCCTATGTATGTGTATTAAAAAAAATTAAATACTTATTTTAAACTAATGCGAATCTATAAAATATTAGGCTAGTACTGGTCACGATACAGAAATGGGAATTTATTATTCAAATTACGTTAGTACAGTACGTGAAAGGACTAATATTTAGTTTTTAATAAGTGGGAAAATATGCTCACTTAACAGAATACTGAATATATTATAAAGTGACTATGTTTTAGTAAAATCATTGAAATAAATCGATACGTGACAATTATTATAAATCATCAACATTGTTTTAAACATGTACTACATAATCCATTTTTCACCAGTATACCTGCTTTTATCAACATTCATTATAAACAAAGTTATTGTCTCCAAGTTCTTTATTAAAATGGTAGTTTTTCTTTCTTTTACAAAGGCTTTTATAAAACTATATTTAAATACGAACAGTATTTGATAGAGTACTTTTAATTTTATTATTGTATATACAGCAATAATTGCAGTATTTGGTAGGACTGGGCTTCACAGGATGATTACCTAAACATTATTATGCTCCTAGGGCGGATCCAAGGAAGTGATGGTCGCCTCCCGCTCACCACGATGTTAATTAATGAGAATAATTTTAAAGTAAATTTTATACTCTTTTTGGCGTTTAAGTCTCTCAAAAGATGGTAGTGTGACAAGACAAAAGACGGTTCTTCACATAATTTAGACTTGTCATTTATAGTGGAGTGACCCTGCATTTCCTCCTGCAGTTACCTAAGCCCACCCAAGTACCTGAGCGGGCTTAGGTATCGTCAATGTGTGAAAGTTTGAGGTTAATCAGTCCAGTAGTCTTTGAATTAAGCTCAAGGAAGGACAAACACACCACACACAGACAGGCAGGCAGACAGACAGACAGACATACACACCGACAGACTGACAGACGGAGCTCACTGCAATAACCCCTTCGCCCCTTCGGGGGAAGGGAGTGGGGTGTGTAATAACAATGACAATAACAATAACAACAATAACAAAAACAATAACAACTAGAACTAGTATGCCTGTTTGAACAACAGAACATAGGGCTTTTCCCGATTGCAATAAAAACAAAAGTTGTTAAAAGTTATAATTTAAAAAAAAACACGGAAAAATTATGATTTTAATAAAGTAGAAAAAATAAGCGGAAAAACGAAAATTAAGTTCACTGCGACGTTATTAGTGAACTTGAACTATGGCTGCAATGGAAATAGCGAGGTACATCGTGACTCATAACCAAGAGCCGACCGTATATAGGAAATAAATGAAATGAAATGAGGAAAGTGCATTTTCAGTTAAGTTCATAGCGGTTCAATTACTGTAAGCAAAAATGTTATATCACGGTAGTTTTGAGTTTAACCTAGCTGTAACTGGTTTAAGCGCTTTAGAAAACGCAAATTGTGTTTAAATATTTAATCAACCGCCAACAAAAACTCTTTAAATGATCCTCATATCCACACCCTAATGCGAATCGTCACCAAAATTGGATCATTTCTTCATTTCACCACGAAAAACTATTCTGCAAAGTTTCATTTTTATCCATCTATAACTGAGGCGTAGGCCTACATATTTAAATGACCCTCAAATTGACACACTAACCCCGATCTTCGCCTACACATCATAGGCCTAATATCGTCCTTGTAATCGGTTGATCGTTTTTGAAATATATGGTCTAGGACGTTTTCCTTTTAAATGGTCCTCATATTCACACCCTCCACAATTATTACACAAATTCAGTCAATTCTATACTGGACCTTTAAGAGAGCAGCATAGCTCAGTCGGCTAATCTGGTGGTAGCCATTGTGTTTCGATATAAATTTTAATACAGGTCGGTAAATATTTGAAAAATCTCTTTTACTAGTTTTTTCGATGTGATTAGATAAAACTAGCTGCATCAACACTGAATATGTCGTTCTTTTAAAAAGCACTGTAAGTGTCGTCAGATAAGATAAAAGAACACACTACCATCCGCCATGCGTTTGACTCATGTGAGTGTGACAAGTTCGTGGACGGCAGAACATGCATTCTCCGGAAAAATAATGCGGATTCTTAACATATTTTCAGTTGTGAAAATACTAGCCTAAAAATACTATTTCCGAGCATCTACGGAAGCATTTTCCGGGGGCGGGCGGCATGCCCACGACCCCAAAGAGGAGGGGTTTTTAACAAAAAATATCCCACCTGCACATTAATCTAACTTGATGGCAGCTATGCGCCATATCTTTGTATAAATTCGATGCACTCGATCCACTGGTTGTTGTTTGTGTGTACAGTAGGTGTAAGTGTATACTAGAACATATAAAGGGCGCTCAAGCCAGAAGACAAGGCACTTGGATTGTATTAAATAAAGTTGCAATGTTTTGAACAAGACATGTATAATAGTGCCTTATTTAGATGGTGTTAGAAGTGGTCTTCAGCAGTCGATCCAGGTAAATTAAAGAAACGTACCCGATTTCATAAACATAAGTCTTTGAAGAGTAAATGAACATTCAAAATCTAGGCCTAAAGGTTTGGGGTGCCATACGCAGTAAAAGTCTATGTTACAATGAAAATGTAATTACAAAATTCAATGTCTAATTTATCGAAACATAGGTCTAATTTTTCAAAATGTAAATCTAGTTTTCCAAAACGAAGTTCTAATTTCTCAAAGTGTAGTTCAAATTTTCCAAAATGTAGTTCTAAATTCTTTAAAATGTAATTCAAATTTCAAAACGTAGGTATGACTTGATCATACGGCCTCCAAATTCTCTTCCAACACATAAATCAAAAACCAGCTAAGCATGACTGGTTTGATTTACATTATTTTTACAATGACAACTAGACATGCTATGCGAAATATAAAATCAAAACTAGCAAGGCAAGAATGACGGGCTCGTTGCATTAATGATGGGGGAATCGATTTTTGCTGCAGTCCAATGCCGTGAAAAACGCTTCCCAACGCATCTTTGATGTTCAGGGTACTGGTGATCACGGGACCTATGCTATAGCATAGGCGAGGCCTAGGTCAATAATATAGCAAAATACTGTATAGTCATACGAATACAGGTTTACACTGTAAGTGGATCGAAATCAACGATTTCATTTTTTTGGTTTCGAATCATTGAAATACAAAAACTAAACTTAAAATAAAATATATTTAACTCTAAAATACCGTAACACTTCGAATAAAAGACTAATTGGCTTTATTTTGAAAAGAAGCCCATCTCGAATTGAAGTCTTCCTCTTTAGTTTGCAAAAGTAGCCTCGAAAAGAAGCTCATCTCAAAAAGAAGACCATGGGCTTCGTTTAAAGATAGTATTGGCTTTTTTTCGAGATAGTACACTATACATGAATTTCAAACCAAAAAAATAGATTAAAAACACGCTTGGTTTATAGAGTATTTAGGTGATTTAAAGCCACACGCCCGTATTCTTAAAACAAACTTTAGTCGAACTTCGAACTAGAACTTCATTTAGTGCTAGTTGCATCTTTAACTTCAATTTGTATTCACAAACAATGTAGTCGAAGTTTTAACTACATCTAGATGTGTATAAGAGACAGATATTATAAAGTGACTATGTTTTAGTAAAATCATTGAAATAAATCGATACGTGACAATTATTATAAATCATCAACATTGTTTTAAACATGTACTACATAATCCATTTTTCACCAGTATACCTGCTTTTATCAACATTCATTATAAACAAAGTTATTGTCTCCAAGTTCTTTATTAAAATGGTAGTTTTTCTTTCTTTTACAAAGGCTTTTATAAAACTATATTTAAATACGAACAGTATTTGATAGAGTACTTTTAATTTTATTATTGTATATACAGCAATAATTGCAGTATTTGGTAGGACTGGGCTTCACAGGATGATTACCTAAACATTATTATGCTCCTAGGGCGGATCCAAGGAAGTGATGGTCGCCTCCCGCTCACCACGATGTTAATTAATGAGAATAATTTTAAAGTAAATTTTATACTCTTTTTGGCGTAATAACTATATTAGTTGTTAACATATTACAATAGAGAATTTGAACAAACACTGAAAATTTGCTTTCTTTGGAGAACTATTATAGTTGAGCCCGAGCTCCATCTTTGTTGTTGTTATTGTGAAGCTACGTGATCACAACGCGAGGGGATTTCGTGCAAATCAACAACAATCGCATGTGGCTAGCAAAACATGTTAATTTCTCCTTCTGGAAGCTAAACTTGATGTCTCTTTTGTTTAACACACCGAAGATATATCAAACCTGCGTATACAATCGTTTTTATTCGTTTCATTTTATCAAAATGAGTTACAAAAAACACGTTTTTAGTAGGGTAAATATTTCAAGTCGGCGATTTAGCCTGACCCTAGGCTGACTAAAAAAATCGGCCTGCGGACGTATCATTTTAGACGAGGTTCACGTCATTTAGTTGTAGTGCTGGTCGAAGTTCGTTTTGACGAAATACGAAATGACGTAATTTTAAAGTTTTAGCTCGAACTACGACTAAATTTCGTTTTAAAAATACCGGGGTAAGAGTTATATATATCCATGATACAGCTGATGTTTCGAAAGTGGCTCTATTTATTGTTTTTTAGTATAGTAGTAATAGCCACAATTTTGTGGTTTTTTTAAATGATAAATGATAAATAAATAACAATAATTAAAACGTGGACATAGTGTCACTA